GCTGAAAGTTTTCCCACAATGACTGCACTCCTAAGGTTTCTCTCCAGTATGTGTCCGCCGATGCACTACAAGCTGAGATCGCTGCCGGAAGGATTTCCCACAGTCACTACATTCGTAGGGTTTCTCTCCAGAATGAATTCTCTGATGGGAAAGAAGGTTAGAGCTCCCTGTAAAGGCTTTCCCACACTGACTGCACTCAAAAGGTTTCTCACCAGTGTGAGTTCTCTGATGCATCACAAGGTAGGAGCTCCTCGCAAAGGCTTTATCACACTGATTGCATTTGTACGGCTTCTCCCCAGTGTGAATTTGCAGATGCCTGATGAGCTGAGTGCTTCGATTGAAGGCTTTTCCACACTGGTTACATTCATAGGGCTTTTCTCCAGTGTGAGTTCTTTTATGTGCAACTAATTGATAGCTTTGGCTGAAGGACTTTCCACAATGAGTGCACTTGTACGGTTTCTCCCCAGTATGAATTCTCTGATGGATGACGAGGTTAGAGTTCCACCTGAAGGATTTCCCACATTCGATACACAGATACGGTTTTTCTCCAGTGTGAATTCGCTGATGCGTAATAAGTTTGGAACTCTGGGAGAAGGATTTCCCACACAGGTTGCACTCATAGGGTTTCTCTCCAGTGTGTGTCCTCTGATGTACGACAAGATCATACTTCTGGCTGAAAGATTTCCCACACTGAGTACATCTGAAGGGCTTTTCTCCAGTGTGGGTTCTTGTATGTGTAACTAACTCATAGCTTTGGCTGAAGGACTTTCCACAGTGAGTGCACTCGTACGGTTTCTCTCCAGTATGAATTCTCTGATGTACAATGAGGTTAGAGTTCCACCTGAAGGATTTTCCACATTCAACACACTGATACGGTTTTTCTCCAGTGTGAATTCGCTGATGCGTAATAAGTTTGGATCGCTGGGTGAAGGATTTCCCACACAGGTCGCACTCATAGGGCTTCTCTCCAGTGTGTGTCCTCTGATGTATGACAAGGTCATAGCTCTGACTAAAAGATTTCCCACAATGAGTACATTCGAAGGGCTTTTCTCCAGTTTGTGTTCTCTGGTATATGTGCTTACAACAACAGCTGAAAGAGTTTCCACACTGATTACACACAGATGACTTCTCTGCAGTCTGAATGATGTTACAGTCAGAAAAAGATGAGGCCACAGGGAAGGCAGCGCAGCCATCCTCACCTCTGAAGGGGGTCCCTCCAGGGTCACTTCTTTCTGTTTGTACAAGGCACAGACTCTCAGAACAGGCTTCTCTGCATTCATCACACTCATACTGACTTTTTCCAAAATGCGCTGGCTTCTGTTCATTCAGAGACACACTGTGACTGAAGAGATTTCCATAATCCTTACAGTCATCACTTTTCTTCACTGAAAAAGTTTTACCATGAAAACAAAGGGAGGAACCATAGTTGAGAGAGTCACGACCAACAATATGTTCATAAGGGGTTTTCTTTCCTGTTTCAATGTTTCCAAGTTTACTCAAGTAAATGCTCTGACACAAGGCTCTAGCATGCTGATGATTCTCACAGTGCTTCTCACCTGCTCCATTTTTCTCATGATTAATGAAAGTTGAATTTTGTTTAAACTCTTTAACCTGTGAGTTAGGCTTAGGGAAACCTGTACGTGCAGGTAATGTCATAGGTAGAAGGCTTAAAGTAGAAGGTAGAGAATAACTTCCCCCAAGTTCAGGCTCACAGTGTTCTCTTTGAGGAAACAGTCTCTCTGAGGTGAGTACCATGAACCTCAAGGAGTTCTCCTGGTGTTCCCTTAACTGGTTGCTCTGATTGTGCACTTTTCCTAATGACACCAAACAGGGTGGGTCCTCCTGTACACATTGTTTCACTTCCACGTGGTGGGACAGTTCTTCCCTAGCTCGATCTTTTTCAGAATTCAACCTATTCTCCTCAAGGGTAGTCTTCCAGTCTGAAAGAAATCCAAAATGCCTGAGTTACTGGAGAAGCATCAGAGGGGGAGGGAGATGAAGGAGACAACTGTGTAATAGAGGTGTCTCTGGTTTGTTTCCAAGCTACAAACTGTAATCTGTATGCACGCTGTGAAAAGCACAGATGGATCAGCAAACATGGTATCAGTGGTAAAGTGCAAAATACACACAAACATAATAAAGAAGTGACTAAGTAACACTGGTCCCCAAATAGAGGGCAAAAGAATAAGCAGGGAGGGGCCAGGTGCAGTGGCTCATGCCTGTAATCCCATAACTTTGGGAGGCTGAGGCAGGTGGATCACTTGAGGTCTGGAGTTAGAGACCAGCTTGGTCAACATGGTAAAACTCTGTCTCTAATAAAAATAAAAAAATTAGCCAGGTCTGGTGGTGGGCACCTGTAGTCTAAGCTTCTCAGGAGGCTGAGGCAGGAGAATTGCTTGAGCCTGAGAGGTGGAGGTTGCAGTGAACCAAGATTGGACCACTGCATTCCAGTCTGGGTGAGAGAGTGAGACCCTGTCTCAAAAAAAAAAAAAAAGAAAAGAAAAGAAAAGAAAAAAAGAGAATAAGCAGGGAGGTGAAGATAAAAAGAGAAATCCACAGAATGAACTGGGTCTGCAGGATATAAAGCCATTAACCATTGCAAAAAATATGTATGTTCTAAGCCCCTGGACCCTGTGAATGTGAACTTTTGGGAAAAAGAACTGTTCAGATGTGATTAGAATTTTATTATTATTATTTACTTATTTAGTTTTCTAGAGTCAGGATCTTGCTGTGTTGAACAGACCAGATAGCGGCACAATCATGGCTCACTGCAGCCTCAAACTCCTGGGCTCCTGTGATCCTCCCCCATTGGCCTCCCAAAGTGCTGGGAATACAGCCAAGCCAACGTACCCTTCTGTGATTAATATTTTTATTTTATTTTATTTTATTTATTTTTGAGACAGAGGCTGGCTCTGTTGCCCAGGCTGGAGCAAAGTGGCACAATCTTGGCTAACTGCAACCTCCACCTCCCAGGTTCAAGTGATCCTCCTGCCTCAGCCTCCTGAGTAGCTGGGATTACAGGTGCCTGCCACTACACTGTGCTAAAAATTTTAAAATGGGGATTTTTTTCTGGATTATCCAGAGGGGCTCTAAATGTAATCACAAGTGTTCCCATAAGAGAAAGGCAGAGGGAGATTTGAAACACAGAGGAGAAGGTGATGAGAAGACACAGCAGAAGGTATCTGAAGACTGGAAAGAATGCTGAAACCAACAGGAGAAGGAAAAGACAGAAATGCGTTTTCCATTTGGAGCCTCCAGAGGGAGCACAGCCGTATCAACACCTTGATTTCGATCCAGTGACGTTGATTTTGGACTTGTAGCCTCTGTAACTTTTAGAGAATAAATTTGCATTGTTTTAAGCCAACAGGTTGGTGGTAATTTTTTACAGCAGCCACAGGAAACAAACACAGACTCCTAACTGGTGCTTAGTCCTAGAGTATGTTTCTGCTCCACTTCTGGATCTCATCATTGCATCTCAAACATCAATACTGACTTCATATGCTTAATGCACCAATTCTACCATTTCTTCACGCTGCAAACAGAAAAAGTTATTTAAGCATTCCAGAATTGACCCAACAGACTCTCCAGAAAAGACTGCATGGTATCCGACGCAGCCTGGGCAGCATGACTGGCTGCACCTGGGCTTCACTGTTTGCCACTTCAGACAGGTCCTTAGCCTCTTAGAGGTTCACTTTCCTTGCTGTAGCCAGAAGAAAGAATGTTTATCCTACAAGATTTATTTTGAGGCATCAATGAATCACTATGTGAGCCTCACACAGTGTCTGGCACCGACATTACAAAACATGGTTGATCTTGCCATCCTTGTTATTGTGGTGGTGGGGATTCCTCACTGTTGAAGATACGGAGCCTCCAAAAATGAGTGGCAGAGGCTCCCAGCTTAGGATCCTTGTCCAGGTCCTAAAGATCCCTCCTCTGCTTGTCACTCTGTTCATTATGGTTGCATGGCACCACAGTCAACACTACTGAGGCCTACGTCAAGTTCCCATGCATCACTCTCTGAGCACATGAGGACACAAGGATCCTTTGGCAACACATTAACTATACTCTGTGGCCATCCCTTGACTTCTGAGAGGATTTTTCCCTCCTCTCAATCAAAACCTCTCTTCCCTCCTGGGCAAGACCCTTACATGCACCCAGCACCCTCACACCTGGTGCCCTCACACCCAGCACCCTCACACCCGGTGCCCTCACACCCAGCACCCTCACACCCGGTGCCCTCACACCCAGCACTCTCATTCTTGCATTGTCCTCATCCCAGCTCTGTGGTTCCTCTGGGAAGTCACTGTGGAATCCCTCATGGGAGGATGTTTTGAAAAGAAACGATAGCCCAGTGAAGGGTATTTGAGGATGAGAAGCAGGCAAGAAGTCATTGGGTGGCTGAGTTGTGTCCGGGTTTTGCCTGGCCATGGAAAATCAGGTGAAGGACATTAAATATCTTGCAGTGGCTTCTCCATTAGGAGCATGAAATGAGGAAAGAGGCTGTCTTCACAGGCCAGTCAAGAGGGATGTCTATGCCATACAGAAAGACTGACAGTAAACAGAATCCAGAATGACATGATTGAGGTATGGTGTGCAGGGCATGGCCCGGGGAGGAGGGGAGATAAGTAAGTGTGGGCCTTCAGAGGAAGAAATAACAGAGGCTGCAGGCGAGAGAGTTACAAGGAAGGAGGAGCAGGAAGACATGAGACAAATTCAGATAAACTCAACATCTCCAGCCTGGGGGAAACGTGAGAGGGTGCTGTGAAGATACACATGATGCACGTTGCTTAGTGAAAGCAGTCAGTCAGAAAAGGCTATATAGTGAATGACCCCAACTAGGACATTCTGGAAAAGGAAAACTATGGAGACAGGATAAAGATCCATGGTTGCCAGTGAGGCAGGAGAATAGGGTCTGGGGGCAGGGAGCCTAAGGCTGATTCATGCTGACTTCATGAATTGAATCAAAAGTAAAACCCTGGCCGGGTGCGGTGGCTAAAGCCTGTAATCCCAGCACTTTGGGAGGCCGAGATGGGCGGATCACAAGGTCAGGAGATCAAGACCATCCTGGCTAACACGGTGAAACCCCGTCTCTACTAAAAAATACAAAAATCTAGCCGGGCGAGGTGGCGGGCGCCTGTAGTCCCAGCTACTCGGGAGGCTGAGGCAGGAGAATGGCGTAAACCCGGGAGGCAGAGCTTGCAGTGAGCTGAGATCCGGCCACTGCACTCCAGCCTGGGCGACAGAGGGAGACTCCGCCTCAAAAAAAAAAAAAAAAAGTAAAACCCTAAATTTCCACGCCCACGTAACAAAGGGTCGGAGGCTACTCCCTTTGCAACTCCCCCCAACTTTCTGTGTTGCAGATGAAAAATGGAAAGGACCTCTGATTGGTTCCCTCCTGCAACCCATCAGATGTCTGCACAGAGCGTAACTTTGTAACTTTACTTCAGCCTCTGCTTGGCCACCTTCCACAACCAATCAGACTGGTCATGGGCCACTACTTCATA